CCAGGCTGGCCTCGAACTCACAGAGATCCGCCTGCCTCTGCCTCCCGAGTGCTGGGATTAAAGGCGTGCGCCACCACCGCCCGGCCTCTTGTGTCTCTTGGCTTACGTAGAAAGGCTCCATTTCAAAGGCAGGGAGCGTGAGGATCACTTAGCGAGAGCTACCGGACAGGGCCAGAATGGTGACAGAGTTTGCCTGTCCAGATCTGCCTGGCCCTGAGTCATGGTAGGTGAGGAACTGCTCACAAGGTCTCTGCTCTGGGCCTGTGGGGTGTGCCTCTCCTGCCACATCCCTGTCCCCAGGCTCCGTGGGTGACTCTGTGTCTCCTGTTGGTGTTTACTCTGGAGATGCATTTCACTCTGCACTTACGTTTCAGGGAGCACGCTGCTGGAGTGAGAGCTGCTGGGAGGCATGATGTCTCCCTCAAGGTTGTGCTGGCCATGGGCTGGCTCCTCCTGGTTGACTTCTCAGGGGCCGCATCTGCAGGTGAGATTCCACAAAACCTGGACCTCAGTTTCAGCCAGGCTGCTGGGGGAGGGAGATCACAGGGAGTCTCTGGGGTAGGGTCCTCATTGAACACCTTGGTTGCCAGCAAGCCTCATCCTGCCCCAAGTTTTCTTAGGAAATGACAGACTGGCCTAGAATCATCCCAGGTTGCAAGCTCAGCGTCTGCCTGAGCTCCATTGCAAGTGAACCTAGTTGGGAGGGAACTACCGTCCCCGTGGGGCTGAGACTCACCTAACGGAGTACCTATCTCTCAATGCTGGATAATTGGAAAGGAGGGACACTGTTGTAAGATATTTTGAATTTTTAAAAGAAACCAGAAATTTGGATTTTTTTTTTTTTTTTTTTTTTAGAAAATCTTGTTTTTAAATGTTACCCACTAATACAAAACTTAAAAACTTCCCAGGAGTGTAAGGAGAGGGGCAAGGGGGGTGGAATTCAAATGAGATTCAGCTCTCTGTCTCTGTCTGGGCTACTCAGCTTCAGAGCTCAGCATCCTGTCCCACTTTATGTTATCAGATCAGGCTCTGGGCCCCATGAAGTCTTTTCAGATGCTCTGAGAAAGGACTAGATTGTGGGTTTTTTTTTTTTGTTTTGTTTTACACACACACACACACACACACACACACACACACACACACACACACAGACGAAGACCTCACAAAATACATACATACATACATACATACATACATACATACATACATACATACATATGTACATACATACGTACATATATTAGGACCTCACAAGATAGCCCAGGCTGGCTTTAAGCTCATAGATCTGCCTGTCTGCCCCTAGAGTTATGGTATCAAAGGTGTGCACCACCACGCCCAGTTGTTTGTTATTGAGACAGTTTCTCTCCCAGTATGATCCAGGCTAGTTTCAAACTTGCAATCTTCCTGCCTCAACCTCCCAAGTGCTAGGGTTAGAGGCATGTGCTACAGCACCCTACTCAGATCTATCTTCCTATCGCAATGTTGTCAACTCTGTCTTTAAGTGATTTTCTTTTATCTTGTGGTATTTTTTTCCCTTGTGGTGCCAAGCAAGTGATTTTTTTGTGATTTTAAATTAAGATTAGAAGCACAGGACACTTTAGCCACACTAAAGGAAACAGCCATCAGATAACCGGCACCTTTGGCAGGACATGGGAGACACAGACATAAATCTTAGACACTGAACAGAGGGTTAATGATACTACCATCAGCACCATGTTCATCCTAAAATCTTATTATTATTCACTGAGTTTTATGTTTTTCCATAATAAAGGACCTTATATTGAATTGCATTGTTTACCGGCCACTGGAGGAAGGAAGCATTCTGTAGCACAGAATGCCTCCACTGTGGTTTCTTACAAAATCTTCTCCATTCCTGGATGACATAGTGGGTAGGCAATACGTCAGTGTTCAGTGCAAGGGTTAACGACATTGCCCGAGTTCATTCATCTGCTCATTCAATTAATAAACACAAAGTGGGTGTTGACTCCAGACTATAAGTTGCAGTAGGGTTTATCTTTTGGGGTGATTCAGCTTGGAGAGGAGTATTCGGATACTTCCCGGGTGCTTCTTCCAACATGCCAGTTTACGTACAAACCCTTTGGAAGGGAGCTGTGCCTTTCTCTGGTGCCCTTTAGTCTGTGTTCTTCGAGAGAAGTAGAAAACACCTTTGCCATTCATGTTTCACGTGGCTGTAGCCTGCATCTCCTTACAGTCTGCTTCACGGGGCCTCTGCCCTAGTCAGGGAAATCAGTGTGGTTGTCATGGTGATGTTTCAGGGATGGCACTGAGGATTTTCAGCTATTCACTGATTCAAATGTATGAATACCCAGCTTCCACAAAAGAGGGTCCACCAAATCCAGTCCTGGAAGTACTCTGTCATAGCCACAGTCTAGGAGCTTCTGGAGAGTGGGGTTCATGCCCCTGGCAGAGGGCAAGCCTGTAGGATCAGGCCCACCAGAGCCAGGCCAAGATGCAAAGTTGGCTGCAAACTCGCATTCCTGGATGAGGAGAAAGGACCATGGGCTTGGCTTGAAAGTGAGGCCATGAGACCTGAGGCGCTATTCACTTAGCCTTAGGAGGCTCTTGGTCTGCACCCCTGGGCACTCCAGGTGGCGACATTTGTTCTCCACACTCTGGGAACTGACTCCTTGAGGCTGACTCCCATGTCCAGGGCCGGGTGAAAGGCTACTCGGGATTCTTTCTTGACTGTTCACACCAACAGGGAGGCAAACAGAGCCAAAGGTGGCTGCTGTACACTTGGGAGAGAATGTAGGGAATGGGGATCAGCACCCACACAGAAAACTTGGGCTCAGTGAAAGCCCATGTAGTCCCCATGTGTTGCTGTTGAGTGTAGACAAGGGCATGTCTTCCTCCAGGCTCTCCTTCACATACCTAACCATGGTAGTTAGGATTTCCTTCATGCAGAACTGAAGAATAATCAAATATCCCAAAGAGCTGCCTGTCATGGTACTGAATGGGAACTGGTTCTGGTCCCATGTTGTGGATGTGGTTCCTGTACCGACTTTACCTGCGGGATGCAGCTATTCTCACTTTCCGGCACTGTGGAGCTTGCTTCCAATCCCGATCCCTGTCCTGGTCCCCCATCTGAATCTCCCCCCAACTTTGTAGGCTCACCTAAGCCTTACCTCCATCTCCCCACCCACTCTGTTACTTTTAATTCTCCTGATTTATTCTTTACAATCTAGTTTCTGAGAAAATGGGAAAAAAAATAGTCTCATGTCAATTTGTCCGTTCTCCCTGCTTCTTTTTCTGGATTTCTCATTGCTTGGTTCTCCCAGTTCCTAGGATAGAGATGTCCCTCTTTGCATCTTCCGCGGCACAGACCTAGAGCAGATCCCAGCAAATGTTTTAAAAATGTAGGAGTCTCCACGAGATAGCTACATGCATGCTGGCCACACTTGGCTTTAGGCTGCCTTGGGGCCTGTAGGGCAGGAAGTGCAGCCTGACCTCAGAGCAGCAGCAGGTGGCTCCCTGCCCCCTCCCCTCCCCAGGGGGATGAGTCCACATAACCTGCAAAAAGCCTTCTTCCTCAGCTCCTGGAGTGACAGCTCAGAACAGAAAGATAAGACTAGCCTGGACAAGTGTAGAAGCGGCTCTAGCTTAGTGGCCTTAGTCTCCACCAGGGCCAGTATCCCTTATAGTAATGCTACATGTGTCACTTGGCTGACATGTCCAGTGATGAGTTCTTACCCTCAGAGGAACCCACAGCATGACACCTCCACCAGGCAGAAAGTCCCACCTCTTGCAAATGGGGGACTGAATCAGAGAAGGAAGGGGGCTGTCCAGAGTCAGGTGATAAAGTCGTGAAAACAGTGGTGCCCTACCCCAGGGTACCTGCCTCCCAGATCAGAGCATCTCTTTGGTGTCTAAGGACTTGCTTTTAACCCGGGTGGAGAAGAAATGGGTTCCATGAAGATGTACTTGTGCCCCCTCCCATTATCCTTTGCTTGGTGATGCTGGTGGAGCTGAGTGGTGACATGTCATTGTCTTTGGCAGTGGCAGCCGAATGTCCTGACCAGAACCCTGAACTGCAGCCTTGGACGCCTGGCCATGACCGAGACCATCGAGTACATATTGGTCAGGGCAGGAGATTACTGCTCACCTCTTCTGCCACAGTCCACTCCATCACCATCTCACAGGGAGGTAAGCTTTCCTGTCCGTTCCACCGCTTCGAGCCCTGCAAATGTCCAGGAGCTGAGATAAACAGGATGGATGGTCCATGCTTTGGGTTTATGTCA